TCAATAAGACTGAGGTAGATGAAAAGTGAATCAGATAGTTGCTGAATTGCATACTGGTTAGTCTAATCTGCGTTTCACTTCAGGTTGTCTATAATAACAGTGAATTTATTGTACACAATTTGTTTTTTTACCAGCGGACCTGGGATTGTGTTAATTGGAGCAAACATTGAAAAGGAAGTTGCAATGGCAAAGAATTGACGTGAAAATTCCATGTGAGTCTATCCCCTGTTGGATGAATGTACGGCTGTAATGGTGCCTATGGTATGGTTTGAGTAGTTGAATCTTTCTGAGGAAGATCCTAAATTGAGAACATTTAAATACCAAGTTTTGGAGTAAGGAACCTGATTCAAATCAATGACGTTGGTGAAAAACAGAACATTGAAAGTTCAAGTGTTGTACCAATAATTTGATGCCAATTATTGAAAGACAACATAGGATTGTCCGATGAAGTATTGTCATGTGTGGTCAATTATATTGTTACCATGATAGTGTAACGTTAGTTTGAAGCATAGATTCTGGGTATTTGAGTTTCCGGAAGTTCTGACAAAATTCAGGTTTAGGCACAGAGTTAATGTGAGAGTGACAACACCTGTGATTACTGGATGATTGCACCTACTGTATAGGTTGAAACGGACACCTGTATCATCCCATGCTATTGGATTCCCCCTATAGAAATTCCTAGGACCATAGGTGGTCCTATGGTGACCTCAAACCATTGCTAAGTCATCAATCCCCCAACACTCAACAATGACTTCATTCAAGTTACTATTCAAGCAGAAATATACCAACTGTACAAAACAACTCACACCGTAACAAATAATATCACTCCCCTTACGCTAAAAGACCTACTCATGATTGAATTTGGTCACATTTTCTGGATGTTGTGTGGGCAGTTGGGATTGATTATAGAAATTCAAGCCAAAGGTGATTGATTTGAATGGACAATGGCATGGTGAGTTTGTTGTAGTTGAAATTGGATTTATGTGTTGAAAGTCAAGGTTCCTCCTTGAGGGCCAATCTTGATTGACTGATAGACCTAGAATTGGTGGTGGCATGTGAAGGATGATCAGGGTGAAACACGTGAAATTCAGATTAAACATGTGGAGGTGTAAACCTTGAAATCAATAATAGGGATTGGGAGTTTTGCAAGTTTTTTCAGCAAACACAGTTTGCCTTCAACTTTTATGATTATATGATATATGATATATGATTCACAAATAAATCATCTGTATCAAATATGGATTTGTAAGAGCATCCACACTGGTGCGGTAAGTTGAGTGCCGTAAGTAGAAGTTTACCGCGAGTGCAGGGCTATTCCCACACTGGTGTGAAATTAGCCCTGCGGTAGTCAATTTTTGATTGACTTGCGTTAGCCAATTGGTCCAGTTACCAATTGGCTAACACATGTGGTAACTCAATTCCCAACTTGTTCATGGCAACTCAACTCCAAAACTCAGCAAGGTACAACAAATACCTCTTTTTCACCTCTCACATCCGATAAAGTCCAAACCTTGCAGTCACATCAGCCAAATCAAGAACATTCAACACCAATCAAAGTTTTTTCAATCATTAACTTTTTTTCAAGATAGGTCCATCAAACATGCTCAACTCACTTAATCAAAGGACCAATTACTGGAGAACTTCTAGGATCTGTGTCCTTCATCCCTTCAAGCGACGGAAGGAATAAGGGTGGGAAAGATTCTACAATAGAATCTTTCCCTCTCACTCTAGGTATGTGACACAATTAGCCACCCTTGCTTCTACTTCTAGAAGTGAGGATGACATGCTGTGGGTGTAACCTAGGATCTGCCTGACAAGAAGAGTCTTCTCTGGAGCTTTCTCTCAGGCAGACACGTCTCAGCAAGAGCGGCAAGAGACACTTTGAGCCCCACCACAGGGAGTGAAGGGTCAAGGAGCCAAGGCCCTGCAAAGGGTCTCAAAGCCCACACTCATTGAGTCAAAGGTAGTCGGGGGAACACCTCACTAAGTGTATCAGGTACACAGCATCACAACACTAATGGAATACATTTCAGCTCATCAACGGACAATTGATAGTGTCTTTGCTAACTTCACGGTTTGCCTCAGCACTCTGTCACTGTACTTCCTTATGTACAATTTACAAGCTGCCGACCGCCAACAACCAGTCTTCTTCAAGGTCTTCACCAACACTCCTAAATTTGCACGTAGCAAAGCCCCGCATATCCGCAAGCTGTGACCCGTCCAGGCGGCACTACACCGCCGGCACAATATCCTCGGATACGAGTATCCAAGTTAACAGCGGGTATGTGTGTCCGAGGAATCATCGGATAATTGTGTATCGAGGTAAATGTCCAATGTAACATTGGACAGATATGTGCAAGGATATCTTGGGCATTTTGGTACCGAGGAAATCATTGCTCCAAGTCAAACTCGGCTGCACACAATCGATGATATATACCATCGGACAAATGTTGTCTGAGTTGATATCGTGGATTAACATCAGAAAGTCCTTTCTGAGTTTAATACGGTAAGACTTACCCCAGTTACAATATAGGCGGACCGTATAGCCTGATGAAATTATATCATCGGTGGGTCTTGTCCGAGTTTAATAAACCTTGGTCAGATTAGTTCGAGGAGATATCAAGTGGGAAGAATCCAAGGGTAAGGAAAACCTCGGACCTTGCTGACCAAGGTTTCCTCATAAATTGTGTAATTGAAAATTGAAGCCAAAAAATTAAAAGCCAAAAATTCAAAGCTCAAGCTTAAAACTTGTAAATTCATACTTGAAAATCAAGGCCCAAAAATTAAATCTTAAAAATAAAAAGTCTGATACTGAAGGTCAGAAACGGAAATACAAGACCTAAAAGTCAGAAATTGCACATTACAAATCAAAACATAAAAAATAAAAACTTACATATGTGTGTGTCTTAGACTTGAACTTCTTCGACCTCGACCTGCACCTACACTTTGACTTCGACCTCCAATCCGAACTATCCGACTTTGACCTGCACTTCCACATCCACCTTGACTTTGACTTCAACCTGCACTTTGACTTCGACCTTCAAGCCGACTTTGACCTGCACCTCAAATTCGACCTTGACTTTGACCACGTTCGACGTACACCTTGAATTTGACTCCGACCATGACCTGCAGTTTGACCTGCAGTTTGACCTACACCTCCACTTCGACTTCGATCTCCGATCTGACTTCAACCTTCACTTTGTCCTTCACTTTGCTTTTGAACCCCACTTGAAAAGCAAGAAATTGAAAATATTAAAATCAAAAATCAAAATTACAAAATTGAAAATTGAAAATTGATTGAATTTTAAATTTAAACCTGGAATTATAATCTGTATCTTTTCAATTTTTTTGACTCAATTCACTTTTTTTTTCAATTCCCAATCTTTTAATTTTGTTTGCTTAAATTCGATCTGATCAAGATTTGCCCATTCAAACCCAACAGAAAAGAAGATAACTACAAATCAAACTTCATACTCAGCATCACCTTCTACTTCTTCACAATTACCTTCAAGTTCAAGTTCAATGTCAGGTTGAGTGCTTTTTGACTTTTTCAAAAAGGATCATTTATCAAACATCAAACTAATGTTAACTGCTCTCTATGTTGTAAATTCCAAATCAGATCTATGGATTGAAGAACCTTGGGCTTGGGCTTGAGCTTGCACTTTGACTGGATTTGGACTTGGACTTTGACCTGGACTTCCACTTCAAATTTGACTTCGACCTGGACTTCCACTCTGACTGATATCATAATCAAGAAGCCTATAGTTTTCATATTGATGGGTTCTGGCTTTACGAAATGGTCGAGACGGCGAAAACAAAGGTTTAGGTATTATCATTGGGCATGTAGTCTCTCGGGATGCGAAAGGTAGTGTACGTAAAGCTTTGAATCAGTTCTTATTCTTTTCATCGAGTGAGAATTTCAACTTATGGTTTCAAATCTCGAACACCACCAACCTATCAGTGATACGATCATCACAGGTAAGCACTAACCTGAATGTGCCAGTTTCCCTATCCAAAATATGGTCTCATTTTGTTTTTCAAAAACAGACCCATCATCATCGTCCCGAAGATGTCACTCACTAGGGTTAGGGTTAGGGTTAGGGTTCAGTTTTAGGGATGATCAGATCATCTCCACCGTTTGAAGAAATCAAAACAAAACCACACTCACTGATCAGGCGCATCAGGATCCACAGGTTTCCTAAACGGAGCTCCCAACGGGTTCAAAACCAATTTTGTCAAGATACTGACTGGAAGGCTTTGTCATAATCACCTTTGGTTTCACACTTTGTAGCTCGGGAGGCCATTTTCTGAGATTGAGGGATTGGATATCAGCAGAATGGCTAGTGGGCAAAGACCTCGAGAGATATACCTGTGCGTCCTGAAGTTTTTGCCTCATCTCTTTGTTCAAGGAGTCCGATTCCATCATACCAGAAGGCTTGTTTTTGATTGATCGATCGCAGCGTTCGACAGTTTGGAATGGAATTCCGTTATCTTGAGTTCTTTTTTGGGAGTTTTCACCATTGCTAAGTTGATGTGCAATTTCAAGAGAGGTTGATAGAGAAATAAAGTTGACTGAGTTTGTGATGAAGTTGAGAATATACATACAAGTTATGGATTATATCTATTCGTTGTCCTTGAAGTGAAGGACAAAAGGTCGAAGGAATTAGAATGAATTTTGATGAAAAATAAAAAAATAAAAAAATAAAAAAATTCTTGAAATTCCTGAAATTCTCGAAGTTCTCGTGTGAACTTTTTTCATCCCAGATTCACAGAATCAACAATCAAGAATCAAACACAATTGTTGGATTAACAAGAAGTAAGTCACTCTGCATTTTAATCTCCTGACTTCAATATATTGATCAGATCATGACTGACCAATGTATTATTTAATCTTGTATTTTTTTTGATATCCATCTTGCAGTAGTTTGCTTATCACTTCAGTCTTTCATCATCTCAAATTATCTCATTCATCACTTTTTAGACTACAACGTCCCTCTAAAATGGACAACAAATCAAAACCTACTGATGCTAGAAAACGCAGAGAGCGTAGAAACAAAAGGGGACATGTATGTTTATTTTCAAAATTAATACTTATTCAAGTCATCCTTCATAATAATAAATTCTCACTCTCTGAGATGTTCTAGGATGAGAAGAATGACACCGACACACGTACACCAAAGACCCCTACGGAGCTAGCACGGTGTGCAAAATACAAAAGAAATAGACATAAATCAATTGGTTCAGGTGCTTTGACAAATGTTGTTCAGAAGATCCACTGGGTTGATGAGAAATACAATCCGGTTCTTAGGCTTGACAAGCGTGATCCTCCTACAATTGAAGAGGCTTTGGAACTTAGTAAGAGTGCACAAAGAATCAAATATGTAGCTAATAAAGTTTGTGTTATTCAAGATAAACAAAAAAGGAGATGGTTGGAGTAGTAAAATTTACACCTTATGAATAGATGAATGAAAATGATAGAAAGTTACTTGATGAAACTTGTGAATACAGTATGAAAGAAAAAAAATTGTTAAAAGGTGTACTTTGAATAAGCAAATGACACTGCAAATATAATGTGTTTCTCCACGGTGAAAAATGATTACATTTAATTCAAAAAATGATTGAAAGTGCATTAAATCTACATTAAATCTGCATTTTTCTGCATTAAATCTGCATTATTAATTATTTTGTGCATTAAGTGCAATCATTTTTCACTGTGGAGAAACACATTATATTTGCAGTGTGAAAACTGGGTTCATGGGCTGCTTTGGATATCGAAAATCTATGCAGGATGATGAAGCTGTTGGTATGTGTTTTGTTTCTTCTGGAATCACCTCTCATAATATCTGACACGTGTTTGTGTTTGATTAGGATCTTATATACCACCCGACTTTGTAAAAGAAGACCCAGAACTGTTTTTGGAATGGAAACAACATCTTGGCTTTTGAAAATGTATTGAAGAAATCTATGCTGGACGGTTTAGAACTTTAGGTCTCCCGCTCTTTGAAATTCAACAATCTTTAATCAAACAACTCAAAGCTTTATCTGGTGGAAACCTTGATCACAAAGACACTCACAATCCGGATGCATTCGGAGGGAATCTCAGCTTTACCATGGATTGTTTCTCTGGTATACCTCACACCAATGGTGACACTCCGGGTGGATGGTCTCAAGGAATTTGGTTTCAAGCTTTTAGAGAAACTGGAAAGATGGCTAGCCAGGCTGATGATGGATTTGAAGTCAAAGATGGTGAATTTTACTGGCCCGATTTTAATGTTATTGTTGATTTGCAAGCTGTGATGGGATTGTCAAAATTCTATGGCGCGGGGCCCACAATCATCACTGTACTCTCACATCTCACAAACCCTCAAGATCTTTCACCAGGCTTGGAACCTCTGTTCAACTCAGCCATCGGTATGCAACTGCATGTGCAAATATACTGGATATCACAGCCGATGAAGCAACCCTTATAAAGGAACCTAAATCATCACGAAAGAGAAAGAATGATTCGGTTGTTGGAGAAGATGGTACAGTTGTAGAAGAAAAGAAAAAGATAAGATTTATCAAATCTCCTATGTATCTCGTCAAAGAGATAGGAGAACAAAGTCAGAAATTTAAATAGTTCTTATTCATCTCTCACCGTTTTGTTAATCTCACATTATGATGTGGATTTGATGTCCGTTGAAAAGCAATCAAAAGAAATATGATCATTACAACAGTGCATCTGTATCTCTTTCCTTGAGTTTTCTATTTCTTAACTCAGTGGATTCCCATCAAATGTTCCTCTCATTGTAATTAAAAGCTACAATGGTACTATTGTTCAGTAACAATTGATTCTTTCCTATTTAAATGTTCCCTACAAATTATGTGATATGTGAAAGTCATCATGATTGGTCTGTTCTTCTTCTGGAGCCATTTATATCTAGAAGATAAGTAAGAACAGGTGTGTGATCCATTGTGAAAGCTTCCTTACATTTATTGTGCTTGAGACTATGTAACATGTCCTAACTTATAAGTACAATAATTTTACAAACAGTGAGGATGACTTTCCACATCACAATGGAGCTGTCTGATGAGTCTTTGGAATAGTTGTTTGACGAATGAAAGGTTGGAGGTAGTGTGAAAGTTTTCAAAAACAATGAAAAGAAGACCTTCAAAACAAATAGCGTACCTCTTATTTGTGGACTTCGTATCACCACGTGGAGGAGGTAAGCCAGTATCACCACACTTCACTGGAGCAGTCTGATGAACCTTTGTAATAGTCGATCAAGTAGTAAAAATTTGAGTTAGTCTTGTTCACAGAACAAAAGAAATAAAACATACTTTGAGATAACTTTTGATTCAGAATGGTTGATTGGCTAATAAAAATTCCAGTTGAGTTAGTCTAAATCCTGCTCCAAAAACAATGATAACAAATGTAGACTTCAAGATAACTTACTTTTCCTTGGTATAAGCCTGAAAGGCATAAAGACGAGGTGCTTGGGGTGCTGGGAATGAGGTTTGAAGTGTTTGGACTTTGGTGTAGTCTACATCAGAGAAATTGACCAAATACCATTTCATTAGTGTCAAACTATGCATTGTACAATCATCAAGGTACACAAAGAGAATCTAAAAAGCACAAATCTGTAGTTCTTACATCTCATCCTCAATCGCACTATCCTGTTCAAGTGTCTCAGAGTCTATAACCTGAAATACAATTAGTACAACATCAGAAAACGTAGTTAGTGATTGGAAGCATCAAGACAGAACTACGGAATGCAAGGTGTGTCAAAGTGCCAAATCAAATTTCAAAAATCAAAATTTCAGAATCCTTGGGTCAGAAACTGAGAAAACCAGATTAAACATCAGGTTTAACTCAAATACTGGTCAGAAAGTACCTGTATTGGGGTTAAAACCATGCTTTCTGCCACTTTTGACCACTTTCAAGACTTCAATTCTGAAATTCACTGCTTGGTTGGCACTTTGGCACAGTTATTACATGAAAATTCCAAAAATCAAGTTTTGTGTTTACAAAATTCGCAAATTCAAACAAACACAAAACACAAAACCTATTCTGTCCCGCAAGTCAACTGTAGTAATGCACAACTACTGCTTCCATTGCATCGGAAGACACAAAAACTAATCATAATTTCAAGAACTCGTCAACCGCAGCCAACATTCACACTTTAACTTGAACTGTCACTTTGACACAAGTTACCCAATCAATTATTCTTGTCAATGATTAGTAGGGCTTACAACCTTACCAGAGATAAGTGTACCTTAGTACCTATCTGGAGAAGAATCGAGGTTTTTACATATCTAGTGAGTACTCTTTTCAGGTAGATTCCACACTTCAAAAAGGGAAGTACTAACTCACGGCTTGAATGTATCTCAATAGATAGTCCTTAGCTTTATTGAAACAGAGCCATTTGAAACTTTATGAACAATCATTGTACGTATTATTTAGTCTAAGCCTTACATTGAAGGAACCCTTTTGTAGAATTTAGCTGACAGCTAGCTCATAGCTACGTCCCATTCGATCACTGAGTGATTGACTGTGGCAATAGGCTACCTAGCCAACTAGGTAGCTAGGTGGCCTATCTGTTAAACCTCACCCACCTAGACTGCTAGGTGGTTGAAGTTTAATAGACAGACCACCTAGCTACCTAGGTGGCCTGTCTATGTATTGCCACAGTCACTCACCCAGTGATTGACTGCAGCATTAGGCTAGCTAGCTAGCTTTCCAGCTATCCTCTTACCTAGCTCTTTACCTAGCCAGCTAGCCCGCTAGGTGGCTAGGTGTTCTATCTCCCCAGTCAATCACCCAGTGATCGACTGGGGAGATAGGCTAGCTAGGTAGCCCCTTACCTAGCTAGCTAGCCAGCCTCCTAGCTTGCTAGGTGGCCTATCCGCCCAGTCAATCACTGAGTGATTGACTGGGGCAATAGGCTAGCTAGCTAGCCATCTAGCCCACAAGATGGCTAGGTAACCTATCTTCCCAGTCAATCACTGGGTGATTGACTGGGGCGATAGGCTATCTAGCTAGCCATCTAGCCCGCAAGATCGCTAGGTAACCTATCCGCCTAGTCAATCACTGAGTGATCGACCGGGGCAATAGGCTAGCTATCTAGCTAGCCATCTAGCCATCTAGCCCACAAGATGGCTAGGTAGCCTATCTGCCCAGTCAATCACTGAGTGATCGACTGAGGAAATAGGCTAGCTAGGAACCTTAGCCACCTAGTGAGCTAGATTGCCTATCTTTTAAAGTGTGACCACCTAACAGTCCAGGTGGTCAAACTTTGATAGACAGACCACCTAGCCCCCTAGGTGTTCTGTCTACTTCTTGCCTCAGTTGATCACTCAGTGATTGACTGAGGCAATAGGACCCTTAGCCACCTAGTGGACTAGGTGGTCTATCTATTAAAGTTCAGCCACCGAGCAGTCTAGGTGGTCAAAGTCTAATAAACAGACCACCAAGCCTGCTTGGGTGCTCCATTCTCCGCTCGCCCCAGTTGGTCACTCGGTGGCTAGGTGACTACCTAGCCAGCCAACAGGCTTGGTATCCTGCGTGTAAATGATTTATGAGTCATTGATATCTTTAATTGTGTGCTTTGATTGAAATTTCTCTACATCTATTGTTATTTGCTTTATGACTCATTGATCCAAATTTGGATTTTGAATAAGTCTATCATTTAGCCAATGCAGTGTCCGCAACAGGTCACATGACCTGTTCTACCCACATTCTGGCCATGCTTCCATATATTCAAACACATGTGATCATGTGATTATAAGCAAACCACAAGCTGGCCTGGAGCCTGTTTGCTATAAGATCTGGGGCCATCTTGGAGCAGAATTATCCCAACAATAATTCAGTTTTCCTCGTCACTTCAAAAATTCCATCCTTCAAGGCAAGTGTATCCATCCAGGTATAATGGTTTTAATTATTTCCTTCCATCTTATCTTCAGATGATCATCTCATGTTGAGGGGGTGGAGGGATAGACCTAGTGCTTGAGGATATGTGAACTCTTTAGGGGTAAGAATAGGTGATTGTGGGTAGCCCCGAGTACCAGTCTAGCCTCTTGATTCACATATCAACAAGTCCTGGATCTTCCTTTCCATCTCTTCTCTATGTGGGTGATCATGCTGAAGCATGCTCATTATGCTGACATCTGGTTCCATCATTGTCTACAGCCAGGTTGTGCTATCACGGTCAGGTTTTACATCTGTTCAAGGTGAGAGCAGGTAATTGATACTCACACTAATACAATTTTTTACCAAGTCACTTCAAATATACTACCCAAAAAATGCAATGCAATCAAGGTACCATTTCATTAATATCTGCCTTCATCTGTAACTGCAGATGAGATGTTACATCTGTTTGAGGGGGGGAAAGGTAATCAATACTTACACCCATCTGTTTTCCCGACAGACGGAAAAACACCAATTTGAAGCCAAGAAGCAAAATCTTGCTGTCAAGGGGGCTGCTTATAAGGCTGATAGGAGTGCTCTGTAAAAATACCAGAAGTAACAAAAGTTGCATGATGTACAGCTCTCATCTACTGTAGTCCGGGCCTTTGTTTCCATCTGTTCAGTTTAGTACTTTCTTAATAATATTCTATTGTAGCTTTGACTATAGTATCAACTGTAGTGAAGGGTGTTCCAAGCCCCGTGCCTCAATGTCTTGGCAGATGGTTCAAACACTGATCTCAATTTGATGACTTTGCCAGATGTTGTCTGAGATGGATTGTGCTGTGCATTTGTTGTCATGAGCTTGCTGAAGAATAGGGTGTAAGATGGAATCAGAAGTTCTATTTGTCCAAGAATGATGAGAAGAAACAAAGATAAGAGTGGGAGATTTGACAAGGAATAATCGATTGCATAACTTGTGTCAAAGTGACAGTTCAAGTTAAATGTGAATGTTGGCTGCGGTTGATGAGTTCTTGAAATTATGATTAGGTTTTGTGTCTTCCAATGCAATGGAAGCAGTAGTTGTGCATTACTACAGTTGACTTGCGGGACAGAATAGGTTTTGTGTTTTGTGTTTGTTTGAATTTGTGAATTTTGTAAACACAAAACTTGATTTTTGGAATTTTCATGTAATAACTGTGCCAAAGTGCCAACCAAGCAGTCAATTTCAGAATCGTAGTCTTGAAAGTGGTCAAAAGTGGCAGAAAGCATTTAGAGCGCGTTCACTTAAGCGATTTCTGACCAGAAATCGCTTTTTGTGAAGTCCAAAAATGGCATTCTACAGAATGTGTTCAATTTCTTAATTTCACACATTCTATAAATCGTAGAATGCTTAAAAAAATCGATTTTTGTCGCGATTTTGAGAATTAGCTTTTAGCTGATTCTCATCATAGAAATCACTTTCTATCTTTTTGATGAAAATGGACAAGTCCACGTCCACCGTACAAAACTTTACAAAACCATACTTTTCTGTATAACACCATAACTTGTACGATCTACAAAACCCTTTACCTCAATCTACACCACGCTTGTCCTTTGCCTTTCACTCCTCCATCACCACCTTTCTACTCGATCAAAAACTCTTCGACATCAAGATGTCCAGCGATAATGAGGAATCAGCCACCAGCAGTGACAAGGAATCAATCATCAAGCCATCAACATCAAAGAAACCCGTA